CGGCTTGTTTTCGGCACACTTTCGGTACAATCTCGTAGGCATTGGATTGATGTAAATAAAATGGAAGCACCGCTGTACAACTGTCATTGAAGTTGTTCACAACCGAGTTCACAACATTACGTACTGTTTGACTGTATATTCGAAAACATCCTCAAATTGAATATATCAGAGGAATTCAGACCAGTAGTTCACTTATAGATCTAAATACGAAATGTAGGTTCTAGAGTGGGCTCAATAGAAAGAGGCAGTTAATCAGACCCCATTAGTACTCTTATTTCAAATAATGCTGCAACTCACACAAAACAAACTACAGAAGTCTATTTATATATAGAGCTGGTATTAGGGGTTTAACAGCTTTTGTAAAAAATGACTTCTGTCGATGATTTCTAGGAATTCAAGGCACGTCTACGCCGACCAACCTAACCGTCGGATAGGTGAAATCTTTCCTTACCCGATGAAGATGTTGGTTTGAGTGGGCGAGTCTTGAATTTCTAGAAATCATCAAGAGAAGTCATTGTTTACAAAAGCTGTTAGGCCCTAATTAAGCTCTATCTAGATTTATCATCCTTTATAGACGGTCCCTAACAATATTCCCCACCGGTTCCAACTCTTACCGGCCGCTGATAGACCGTTGCTTTTAACATCATTAAAGGCTAAGCCTTTTATTATCCTATGCCACTTTCGCCACTTTCCGTGTTATCCTCATTCCGATTAATCCTTGCGTGTTCAAACCAAAACATTCAAGGTGTCAGAAATACCGGGTTGCTGGGATGGGTATTTTGCAAACAATCGCAGCTTGCTCTATGATCGGCACATTCGGCACACTGACAATAAAGATGACCCAAGGGTGTAGCACTGGTGTAGTGTAAGCAGGAATAAGCGCGAGTCTTTGACAGCTCAACATTATTTGTTTGTAAACAAAGGTGCATCCTATATCTACACCCTAAAATATTTCGGTGTACGGCAGTGTAGCACCGGTGTAGCTACACCGCAAAAACGAAAACGACATAAATAAAACGCAACCTTCAACGCAACCACAACCCATTTGATGATTGCTATATGCTCGGTGAGTTTATGACGATAACGGTATCAAAATCAATGGAAATGTAAGAAAAATTCAAAATAAATTGCTTTCAATGTTTTTGTTTTAATAATTTGTTTCTCTATCCATTGAAGATAAAAATAAAACCCTATAGTGTGACAGCAGCTGAAAAGGAACAAACCAAGTTTAAACATAGCTTGTATACTTGCAGAATATACATTATGATGTGTAATCCATTTTTATGCTAAGTGTGTATTCTCTCTTTTATATCAAGCTATGCGTCGGTCAGAAGAGTTGCTATTTAGCGTAACTTTTAATCTATTTAGGCTGTGTTCCATTTGGTGAATTTTCACTTAAATTTGACAGTAAGAAAATAAATTAAGATGTTCGAAAATCCCTCTGTTGTTGATCTTCCTATTTTCGATAAGGTGTTTGTCAAAATTGATTCCTGGTCTGTCAGAAATAAGTCTGGTACAATAGCAGGTTTATTTGAAAATTTTACATTTGTCAAATTTAAGTGAAAATTCACCAAATGGAACACAGCCTTAGATTGGTATATCTGTTGAGTGCACTCAAACAATATTGAATACTAAATAGTATAAAAGTTACGCTAAATCGCAACTCTACGCGAGGGGGGCGACACATCTAAATCTCAATTCTAGATACTCAAAAAATCTCACACTTCACACAAAAAATAATCATTGATAAAATTAAAAGAACCGTTGATATAATTAAAAGTTTGCATTGGTTCTTTTTGGTAGAAAGTAGCTAACTTTCAAAATGAAAGTCAACCAACTGTCAAAACAAAAGTTTAGCATATTATTAATTTTAAAAGTTTTAACTTTCAAATCATATTGTAGAACTGTCAAACTAAAAACCAAATACTTTTAGATTGATGTTGGAAAAGTGTTGCTTCAAAAGAAGGCTATTTCACCGCATTAGTATAAGTTTTCACCTCAAATACGAATTATTTTTAATTTGATTGCTTTTATGTAAAAGGGAAATAACCAATATTTATATTTATTTATTTAGTATTTTGTAAATATTCATATGTCTATTTTTCATTCACATCAGGATGTTGATATCAGGGATGTTGTCTTTGGCGGATGGCTTTAGTGAAGGTTTTCTCCCAGACGCGGGGCTCTAACATGCAGTGGAGTTGGTCGAACGAAAGTGCATATTGTTTTCACAGCTGGCCGGCGATAAGCAGCAAAACCTGGTGCGACTAAATCTAACCAGTGTCCTATAGAAAAGAACGGAATCTGTAATCCCTCCAGCGATATATTGCAAACGCTATTGATAGCCACCGAAAGCATCTCTGTAGTGTGCTCTAACGTACCAATATGCTGGCGATCTGGAAAATAATCATCTTGTTTTTCAAAACCACCCTCAGATTATCTAGACAGTAGTTGCAATCTTACCTTCTGCGAAAACTTTACTCTTTCTCATTGCCTCCATTACCGGAATCGGTTCCCGGAACTGCACGATGCACGATTGATTTTCTGCGGTTGGATTCTTGTGTCTCATACTATATGCCCTATTGGATTTTTGGACCATGACAATGAGCTTTTCAAGAGGTGATTTTGACAGTTGTACAATTTTTATTTTAAAAGTATGAACTTTTAAAATTACATGTCGATAATGAAAGAAAAACTTTCAAACCAAAGAAAAACAATTCATTTTGAAAATATTCATAGTTAAAACTACCAAATTCGAGAAACTTTTATTTTGAAATGTTAAAATTTTTAAGAAACAATTTTTGTTTTTTGTGTGTAGCGAATCAATCTTTGAAAAATCATCTTTCATTTCTCGCATCTACTTGCATCGTTTTTCATCTTTTTGCAGGAAATCTTCAAAATCGACATAAATCTTTCTTCTATCTACGCAGCGTGCGTGCAGCTAGCAACAGCAAAACACAATCTTTTCTGCATCGTAGATAGAGTCGTCCCCCTCGACTCTACGTGCCAACGCAAAGGTTCCCTAATAAACGGGTACCATACTCTAACGATATCATAGATGGTACGACTATCCCACATAAAGTTGGGATGATATCCCGAATTGGTGGTTAGGCGCTTCTTATGGTTATTGTTTATGCGGGTTGGTTTAAAGGGAGAGAATGCAATCTTAGTATAAAAATGATTTATGCCTGCCATAGTATAAAATCGAAATATACTTGCAATGCATACATACGGTTTATTCGAGGGAATGTATTTTCTGCGAGATTTTCTGCTTCTTTTTCGTTTCATGATTAATATTTTTGTTTCCAAATCAAAATTCAAAGTTGTCTTAGGTAGTTGCAGCAACTTGTCCTCGTTAAAATACAGCAGATTTCGCCACCGAATCATGCGTTGATCTTCGCAGTAATGGTCAACCTATTATCAGCACACGCTTGATACATAATTAAATACGTAGAGACCAGAATAAAATTCGGGTCAGCTCAGCGTTCGCAAACTAGAAGTTTTCAGCAATCAAGTTTCGCTCAATCTGACTGCCACGGCAGCGGGTACCGCGCTTTTTTTTTTTGCTGGCGCTTTTGCTGGCAGTTGTGCTGTCTGTGTCACTTTTGACACCTGTTCTGGTACAAATTGCTGTCTTTTGCTCTAGTACCGGGTGCACCAGGTACACTAAAAAAACAGCTAGGTGAACCAAAAAAAAATCGCGTGAAGGAGGTCCTTACCCTTTGGGTCCATGCTGCAACCCCGCATAAGCGCGAACCATAAATTGACCTTACCAAAAATGGTTATAAATTGTTTATAATCCCTGCTAAACTTCAACTGAAATGGTTATGGAACTTTACATGAACGTTTAATGATAAAGTTTTAACCTTAAGTATTATAGTTTTTTGGAAGTGGACCTTACAAATAATGGGTTGTTAAGAACCATTACCATTCAAAATTCTTGTTTTCTCCATACATTTTCGGAAAGAAAACTATACTAAGACCTTTTAACTTATGGTTTGAGAACATTAATGGTAATGGTTATGGTAACCAGTAAGGTCCATGAATGGTTTTGTAACATCGATCAACTTTATGTGGAATATATCGCGAATTGGTTGCCTGTAAATTACTGATTACCAATTCACGATATATTTCACGTAAAGTTGAGCGATAATACAAAACCATTAATGGACCTTACTGACTACCATAACCATAACCATTAATGTTCTCAAACCATAAGTAAAAACGTTCTAATATAGTTCTCTTTCAGATAATGTATGGAGAAAACAAGAATTTGGAATGGTAATGGTTCTTAACAACCCATTATTTGTAAGGTCCGCTTCCAAAAAACCATAATACATAAGGTTAAAACTTTATCACACAAACGTTCATGTAAAGTTCCATAACCATTTCAGTTGAAGTTTAGCAGGAATTATAAACAATTTATAACCATTATCGGTAAGGTCATGTGATGGTTCGCGTTTATGCGGGACGCTCTATTATTCACAAGCGATAATCTTTAATAAAAATAAAAAAAAATACCAATCACTCAACTATCCTGGCACACAAGTCAAGCTATGCAAACAAGCAGGATTGGTAATAGACAAACAGTTATAATTGTAATTGTATTAATATAAAACACTAAACGCCCGACACCAACGCGAAATAATAGCAACAACAAAATAAATACGAACTTAAAAACGAAATGTTAGTATACACGGACCGAATTTCACTCCGATAATCAGATTTAGTATAATTTTGACGAAAATTTTAATCGTAACAATGTAAATATAAATTTCGATTAACCATAAAATGCATAAAATTTAATCTTTACTCGTTTTGTAATATTTTTGAGTGTAAACATGAAAAATTTGTACTTTTTTACTCATTAATGTGTTTATACTGGTTACCGTGCGGTACCGTGTCAGCGCCAAAAACTTCAAAAACGGTTACTTAATTTTGGGTTGTTCAAACTCAAGCTTTAGTCAATTCTCATTTTCTGTGTATATTTAGTGTCAAATCAAAAAATCTAAACAAACTATTTTGCCGGTTTGCGCATTTTTTCTGACTGTTTGTCTTTGTTAAAAATTGATATTATTTCATTTTTTAAAGAAAAATCTCATAAAAAGCATTGCGATCAAGTAGTGCTAAATAAAAGGAAATATGTCAAATCCAGGTATGTTTAAGTTTATGTGCAAATAAATTCAAGCTGAAGTTTAACGGACACATGTTTGTTATACACTAGAAGGTCTTAAGAAATGAAATTTAACACTATTAATTAGTTTCAAATGTAAAATTTAAGTTTTACCCTATACCCTATGGTGATGTTGGTTAGCGTGGGCGAGTCTTGAATTCCTAATAGAAATCATTTGTTTACAAAAGCTAGGCTCGTATTCTAGCTCTATCTAGAAAATTTAATAATGATTTCTTCCTCATATTTTCTGCAAATTTAAATGTACGAAAGCCCACAGTTTCACCCGAAGTGATATGTCCAAATATATTTAACAAGCGCTCCAAACATTATCAGTTTATGACCCATATTCTGATTTTCGTTCAGAGCACATTTTCCATACAATCACTGTTCGTTCACTGTTCACAGTTCGAATGTAAACAAGAATATGGGAATGTATCAATGGATCAATGAAAAAGCAAAGGTTTTGACAGAACTGTGCTGTGGCTACCACAGTATTTTACATTGGTTCGTCCGTATACAGTAGCGCCAAATGAAAGCTGTGGTGGGTTCAAAACTCAGCCATCTAAAATGATCCATTCAGTGTCAACATTTCAAAGGGGCGTAATTGCTTTTGTAAACAATGGCTTTAGCCGTCGATTTCTCGCAAATTAAAGCTCACCCCTCCAAATTGAAAATTCCAGCTGGTAGAGGATACATTCATCTACCTGTTGAAGTCATTGACTTTCAAGTGTGAGCTTTTATTCGCGAGAAATCGACGGTTAAAGCCATTGTTTACAAAAGCAATTACGCCCCTTTGAAATGTTGACACTGAATTGTAATTTATTTAGTCTAACGATACCCTGTCGGTAGAACCTGTTATGAGGCCAAGGAAATTATTTACACCATGTAAAAACTGGAACGGTCCACAAAGTGCCATAATTGCAGATCTAAAAGGCCTGATTCTGCACAGTTTTGAGGATGAATTGCGGATAATTTGAATTGAATGGATCAATGAAAAAGCAGAGTTTTTGACAGAACTGTGCTGTGGCTACCACAGTATTTTACATTTGATCGTCCATATACAGTAGCGCCAAAAGCATGTTGTGGTGGGTTCAAAACTTGACCATCTAAAATGATCAATTGAAAATGTTAAATGTTAGTAGGGGAAACAGCCCTATTGTTGCGGTATGTTAGCAGCGTTAGAAGCCTATTGTTGTGTATGGAGGTCTCCATACACAACAATAGGCTTCTAACGCAGCTAACGTATCGCTGCAATAGGGTTGTTACCCCTATGTAGCTTTTTTTATTTTTTTATTGTATAGGAATTTTTAGCCGTAGGCCAGTTCATCCCTTAAGTAGTAGGTAGGCATCATTTATTTGAATATGAGAAAAATATGAATTTAGATAAAATTATAATATAACTAATATTTACCTACAATGTTGAAAAAAGCGCGGAATCAGGCGCTGCGCAGAGTTATTGCACTTTACGGTACGTATTTTATATAATTGTGTTCAATCAACCTCATTCTACTGCGAACTACTTGGTATAATTTTCTGAACGATTTTATCTTATTTGAAACTTATTTATTTGCGTTTACAAAACTAATGAGCAACAAAGAGTGGCTATGTTTAATCCTGATATACTTTTACTACCCATAAGTTTTTTCAGACTCCTTGAACTCTTCGGATCACATCCCGCCAAATTTGACCGAACCTTTCTCGCAAGTGCTATGTGTTAGTGATTCGGATGAAACACTATCTGAAGAAGGCGATAACACAGTCTCACCGTCGCCAAGAAATACTGAACAACAAGCTGTTGTTGATCTAACCAGGATGTCGAACGAGTTATCTTCGACAAGGTCTGGTTCGAAAACATCTGAAAATACGCCACGTTCATTGATCGAAATATCCGACAGCGTCAATTCGACTCCCACACTTAATTGTTCAACATTTAACAGCGACCCCAGTCGAATGAGCACATGTGCTCGAGCTCGTCTAAATAATTTTTTCGATAATATACCTAATTCAGTTTCGGAGATCAGTATGGCCAAACCTGATAAACTGGATAAAATAGCTGAATCACAACTATCAGAAGGCAGGTTTATGCATAGTTTGTGTGAGGATAGTGAAGAAGTTTCTGTTGATGTAACGCAATCATTTGATAAGGCCTCGTCAGGAAGTAACAAATATCAATCTGAAGAACATTATCCAAATATGAAAAATTGGAATGTGAACATATCGGCCAAAATCAAAATTAAAGTTCACGTTTCAGAAATAAGCAGCGAGAGCTCATCTGAATCAGAACAAGAAACTGAACAGACGAGACAATCGAAAGAAAATCCGCGATCCTGTAACCAAGAAATACAAAGAGCAGAACGGTTTATTGATGACGACATGATGGCTATTCTAACTGAGATCTACGGTCAAACTTGGAGAACAAGTAAGATTCTACCTCTGTGCCAACCGAGGCTCAAAACTTATGACGACGATCGCAAGAGTAAGTACTGTTTAGTTTCCCTAATAAAATAGTTCTGGTTATTTTGCTTAACGACGTGTTATGGATATAATCCAAACCATTTGTGGAATGGTTCAATCATTTGGGTTATCATTCGTTTATGGTACTTTTTATTAGGGTTGTATTTCATGTGGATCTGGTACATTTAGTATAATGGACATTTGGCATAGTCGTTACGAATCGAAGATTCTTTAAACTAACAGTTAATTTACAACCAAAGATTACTCCTTTTCTTTGCTGCTCGTTCTTTCGCATAGAATTGTTATTTATGTGGCTTGTGAAAATATTCCCTTCTTCCAATAGGTATTTAATAAAGAAGGGAGCATTCCCTTTTTTGAATGATCCTATAAAATTTCGCAAAATGAAACATTACTCCGAAAACCATTACTTCGAAACTTTAACTTTAAAAAAGAATTTCTAATTTTGAAAAATAGAATAAAATAATATGCACAGGTTCACCCCACTGCGACCTAGCAAGAAGTACAGTCGACTTGTTTCGCGCTCCGGTATTTCGGAAGTTTTCTCGGTATTCGGTTGGTTTAAATTATCAGTTTTTTCTCGCTTAGTGATTACTGGCATAGTACCCGGCTAAACAATTATCTGAAAGTGAGTTTTTTCTGAGAAGAAAGTGTGTTTTCGGCATCATCGGAAGGAAAATTGTTTTTGCGATTGCCAATTCGCCAACCATTTTGCGCACCATCGGTGCGTGATCACGCATACCGGCACACAGATCATCGTCATCGAGTGTCAGCATCTGCCTCCGCATTTATACCGGTCATCCATCATCGTGTGTCCAGCTGAGTGCCGAGCCTAATACAAGCACACCACTACAAAGATCGCCCGCACACGCGCATCGAAGGTCACCCACGCTGCGCGTCGCTCCGCTGCTGCTGTGTAATCACTCGGTGGTAGTAGTATAGCAGATAAGTTTTTTTTTTCCTGTTTCTTTCTCTCGCCCATCAGTTAAATTTAATTTTGTGTTTCTGTGTTTGTAGTTTTTTCTGTTTATTGTGTCTGTGTGGTTTTAAGCATCGTTTCAGTGGAAGAGCGTTTACCGCTTCCACTAGTACGGCAAAATGGACGTCTCGTCAGAAGACGATATGGACATTTTGTCGGAAGATGACACCAGTTTGCCACTCGATGGCAAGAAAAGACGAAAACGTCCTGTCATTCATGGTTCGTCTCAGAAAAGCCCCCGATCGCGAGCCTATCCAGATGACTCGACTGGGCCATGGGTTGTCTACTTTCAGCCCAAAAACAAACCTTTGAACTTGATGCAAATTTCCACTGATCTGACGAAGCGATACTCGGCCGTGACCGAAATCACGAAGGTTAGGCATAATAAACTTCGTGTTGTCGTTTCTAACCTGAAGCAGGCTAACGAGATTGCTGCCTCCCAGCTCTTTACGATTGAGTACAGGGTTTACATACCAGCTCGTGATGTGGAGATCGAAGGTGTGGTCACCGAAGCGAGTCTGACCCCCGAGATCTTGGAGAAGCAGGCGGTTGGTCGTTTCAAGAACCCCTTGCTCCCCCCGGTGAAGATACTGGATGTCCAAAAACTGGGCTCAGTATCTGTCAGCGAGGGTAAAAAGAGTTTTACCCCCACAGACTCGTTTCGCGTGACCTTTTCTGGTTCAGCCCTTCCTCAGTATATCGAGCTGGGAAAACTTCGACTACCTGTGCGCTTGTTCGTTCCCCGGGTCATGAACTGCCAAAACTGTAAGCAGTTGGGACATACGGCGTCCCACTGTGGCAGCAAGGCACGCTGTTCCAAATGCGGGGAGAAGCACGAGGATGGCGCCTGCACAGTCACGGCACCAAAATGCGTGTACTGCAAAGGATCTCCTCCTCATGGTCTCTCGTCGTGTCCGGTGTACAAACAACGCGGGGAAAAACTAGAGCGCTCTTTTAAAGAACGTTCCAGGCGGTCTTTTGCAGAAATGCTTAAGACAGCCAAGCCATCGACCAACGAAACAAATCCCTTCGCTCTTTTGTCAGATGACGAGTCTGGCTCTGACTTGGCTGAGGAGGGAGTTTCTTTCAGTTTTCCGGAAGGTTCTGCCCGGAAACGAAAACGCATCCGTTCGCGGAAAGTTGCAGATCAAGAACCCCAAATCAGCTTGCCCAAATCAAGGAGTGGTGGAAAAAAGGAGACTTCTACTCCTCCTGGATTCCGCAGAACTGATTATATCCAGGATTTTCCACCTCTCCCGGGGACATCCAAAACCCCCGATGCCCCAATTTTCAGAACACAAGCCTCTTCTTCATCTGGGTTGTTCTCATTTGATAACATTGTGGACAGTATCCTCAATTACCTCGATATTTCTGATCCTCTGAAAAGCATTGTTCTGGCAATGCTTCCTACTGTGAAAACCCTCTTGAAGCAGTTGACATTAAAGTGGCCCCTCCTTGCAGCAATCATCTCCTTCGATGGATAATTTTCCAAACGAGGTCGGGGATTTGATCACTGTTCTACAGTGGAATTGTCGAAGTCTTATTCCTAAGATAGAATCGTTTAAGTTTTTGGTTCACAATAACGATTGTGATGCATTTGCTCTATGTGAAACTTGGCTCTCTTCAGATATCGATCTTCCTTTTCATGATTTTAACATTATTCGACTGGATCGTGAGGATTCGCGTGGAGGAGGAGTACTTTTGGAGATCAAAAAGTGCCATTCCTTCTATAGAGTGAATCTTCCACAATTTCCAGGTATTGAAGTTGTCGCATGTCAGGCTTTTGTTAAAGGCAAGAGCCTTTGTATTGCTTCTGTGTATATTCCTCCCCGAGTTTCGATTAGTCAAAAAAAACTTTCAGATATCTGTTCAGTTCTTCCTACTCCACGGTTGATTATGGGAGATTTTAAATCCCACGGTACAGGCTGGGGGGAACTGTATGATGACAACCGTTCTACTTTGATATATGACCTCTGTGATAACTTCAATATGACAATTCTTAACAATGGAGAAGTAACACGTCTGGCTGGTCCATCCTCAAATGGAAGTAGATTAGACCTCACACTTTGCTCTAATTCATTATCGTTGGATTGCACGTGGAATGTGATCCAGGATCCCCACGGTAGTGATCACTTGCCGATCAAAATTTCGATTGCCAGTGGGTTCAATTCGTCGGAATCCGTTAACGTCGCGTACGACCTCACCCGTAATATCGATTGGACAACGTTCAAGACCGCGATAGATGAAGCCGTGTCGTCGGTAGAAGAGCTTCCACCGTTGGAGGAATATAACTTCCTCTCCAATCTGATCTTGGACAGCGCGCTTCGAGCTCAAACTCGGCCGGTTCCAGGAACGTCTTTTCGTAGGAAACCTCCTACCCCTTGGTGGGACCAGCAATGCACTGAGGTTTATCGTAAAAAATCCGAAGCGTTTAAGCTTTTCCGGAAACGCGGAACACCCGAGTATTTCGAAGCGTACTCAACTCTTGAACGCGAACTCAAGAGCCTCATCAAAGCCAAGAAACGCGGATACTGGCGGCAATTCGTGGACGGTTTATCGCGCGAAACGTCGATGAATACGCTTTGGAACACGGCGCGAAGGATGCGTAACCGGTCTTCAAACAACGAGAGCGAGGAGTACTCGGATCGGTGGATTCTCAAGTTCGCGCGAAAAGTATGTCCTGATTCCGTGCCGGCACAGATGATTCCTCGCGAAACGACGAATTCGGTAGACGAGATCAGCCAGCCTTTTTCAATGCTGGAGCTCTCACTCGCGCTCCTTTCGTGTCGCAATTCGGCTCCGGGGGCTGATAGGATCAAGTTCGACTTGTTGAAGAACCTCCCAGACGTCGCTAAGAGGCGCATGTTGAACTTGTTTTGTCAGTTCCTGGAGTTCAATATTGTTCCAGATGATTGGAGGCGAGTGAGAGTTATAGCCATTAAAAAGCCTGGAAAACCCGCGTCAGATCATAACTCGTATCGTCCCATCGCGATGTTATCGTGCATTCGAAAATTGTTGGAGAAAATGATCCTTTTTCGCCTCGACAAATGGGTTGAGACGAACCACCTACTCTCAGATACTCAATTTGGTTTCCGTAGGGGTAAGGGAACGAACGACTGTCTCGCGTTGCTTTCCACAGAAATCCAGTTGGCTATTGCTAAAAAAGAGCAAATGGCTTCTGTGTTCTTGGATATTAAGGGGGCTTTTGATTCAGTATCGGTTGAAGTCCTTTCAGACAAACTCCACGCTTGTGGCCTTTCCCCATTAATTAATAACTTTTTGTACAATTTGCTGTCAGAGAAACATATGAGCTTTTCTCATGGAAACTCTACAGCTTCTCGATTTAGTTACATGGGTCTCCCCCAGGGCTCATGTTTAAGCCCCCTTTTGTACAATTTCTATGTCAGAGAAATTGACAATTGTCTAAGTGACAACTGCACGTTGAGACAACTTGCAGATGATGGCGTAGTTTCTATGACAGGGCCCACAGGGGTCAACCTGCAAGGACCCTTACAGGATACCTTAGACAATTTGTCTACTTGGGCTATCCAGCTAGGTATCGAATTCTCCACGGAGAAAACTGAGTTGGTCGTTTTTTCTAGGAAGCATAGCCCAGCACAACCGAAGCTTCAACTTTTGGGTAAGCCGATCACTCATTCCATGTCTTTCAAATATCTTGGGGTCTGGTTCGATTCCAAATGCACCTGGAGATCAAACATGGAGTATCTGAGACGAAAATGCCAACAAAGGATCAATTTTCTCCGAACAATTACCGGAACGTGGTGGGGAGCTCATCCGCAAGATCTTCTAACGTTGTACCGGACAACGATTTTATCGGTTTTGGAGTACGGTAGTTTTTGCTTCCAGTCGGCGGCTAAAACTCACATCATCAAACTGGAACGTATCCAGTATCGTTGTCTTCGTATCGCGTTAGGATGCATGCACTCGACTCATACGATGAGTCTCGAAGTGTTGGCGGGCATGTTGCCCTTCACAGCATAATCCCCATCGTGTATGCTTCTCCG